TAATTGATGGGGTCCACATGGGTGAATAACAAAATGTTTTTACTTTTTTGCCCCAGAGAGAAAATGCTTTTACATAAGATTCAATAGATTAATTTAAGAAATTTAAAAAGCTAAATAAATTATTTAATTATATTTTATATTACATGGTTTCTTAAAAATACTTATATGTATTATTAGACTACATATTAGTTTATAAGTCAAGCAAATTAATTTGAAGAAAAATAAATATAAATATTTCAAAATATTTTATTTAAATTTCCTAATATTCTCAAATTAATTATATGTATTTAATTATATTCTATGTATATTCAAAATTTTCTCACCAACAAATATTTTTATTTTACAATTATAATTTTAATTATTTTTTTAACAATTATCGTACTAATATCATATAATATAAAACATTAATATTCAATAAAGTTCATGTCCTTTTCAGTCATTTTACATTTAAACTTATTTTTTTATTAATCATCCAAACAACTTTTAACTTTTTCAACTGACTTTTTATGAGCACTTATCCAAACATAAATCATATTACACTAACTGACTTTTACTCTAACTTCAGTTAGAAAAGTCAGCTAGATTAGAAGTCAGTTTTATCAAACGCCAATCCAAACACACCCTAATATCTGCTCCGGCTTATAAATGACTTTTACTGGAGAATGAAGAATTAACCAGGAGTATTTTGGTTAAAAAAAAAATTACATTCTATGCAGGAAATGTCGGTGAATTCTTACATAGAGAAAGAAAATAAAGTCCTTAAATAGGTCCTATATTTATTAACAAAGGGAAGACATCACAAATTCTGTCTCAACAATATAGAAAACATTGTCAAAATCTAACGTAATTAAGTTATGAATGAAAGATTATTAAAACAAGAAGTTCACAAAATATAAAATTAAAGGTGCCTGATACCCTAATTGTCCGCGAGACACGCTCTTTCCAGCTACCATTGGTCCATTAGAGAAGGAGAAGACGAGGACGAGAGCCCTAAAAGTGTCCTCATGTGAAGTCTAACGTAATTTTATACTATATAGAATTATGCATTTTTAATCCTCTCACATAAAAATTATTTTAATATAAACTTAATTGTAATGTATTTTTAAAATATTATTAACAGAGTTAATGATTTGAATTTATGTGTTTGTTTTAAAATAGAATAAATATTCATATAATTAAGACAAAATATAAGAGAATTGGAATTTTTTTCCTCTAAAATTTATCACAAATTTAATATTAATTTCAATTTCAAAATTAGACTGCTGAATTAATCAAGATGAACTAGTTTCAGTACTTGTTGTAATGATGAACACCATGATGCTCATTGTGTGATAAAATCTAAACTATCCAGATACAGTTTTAATAATCTAAGTATAAAAATTTCAACTCTTGATTTTTAAATAAAAAATATTTTAGAGGTTACATTTATTTTGGATTATATAACTATTAAAAAATTATGGATTACATTTATTTTGGATTATACAACTATTAAAAAAATATTTTTTAAAAAAAGAAAAAATATTAAAGAAAAATAAAAAATAAAGACACCAGAAAATAAAAAATTGTGATTACGGTTCTTGAATTCAAAAATTAAAATACCCAAATCAAAATTTTGATATTTTTAAGGTCGTTATCTATGATTTTTTTAAATATTAAATATTAAATCTCAATTGTTTATATTAAATTTGAATAGTTGAGATTTTATGAGTACGGTGCTTATCAATTGCAATGAGCACCAAAAAAATTCCACAAACAAGAGTGGGGTTGGGGAGGGGGGGTAGGAGGCTGACTTGGAATTTTGTCATGACAATTCAAGGTCCCTCGCCGTATTTGTTACTTCTTTCTTCCTTTTTTGATAGCATTTACTTCTTTCTTCTTCATGGATCATTATGAATAGTTGACCATTTAACATGTTGAGCAATGAAATAAGATTGAAAGAATAGACTTTGTATCAGGTCAGAAAAAAGAAAGAATAAACTTTATAACTAAATCAGGGCTGGGGGGATTTTTTTTTGTGAACTAGTAAATTAATACATTGTTCTTTTTTATTTGTAATCTTTTTATCAATAATTTTTTAAAATAGTTTTATAAAATAAAGGAAGGCCATTAAATAATAAATTGTGTATGATAGAATGAAATTTAATAGATCAGATACTAGCATATCTGTAGGGAAAATCAATCCTTATAGTTTCAGTTAGCTTTTAATTAGGTCTTTAAGAGTTTATTTTCTTTTTACCGGGTCCTTGTCACTATGGAATCCTCAAAGGGGTTAGCCCCTCTTCTTCGAAACCGTATATGAAACAAAGACCAAAGGAGTGGTATTTGCCGTTAGGCAGGCTTCTCTGCTTATCAAATAGAAATATGTCATGGTAGACGAGAGGGAGAGAGACGAAGCAAGACACATGGATTATGAATGAAAAGGGAAAAGGGGTTTAGCTTATATATATCATCGTCAAATTAAAGAACCCCTAATGAGGAGCAAATCAAAACTGTTCAAAGCTTTGCAACTTTGAATAATCAGTCACTTGTTCAATGAAAAAACCAAGAAAGAAGGAAAGTCATGCCTTACCTGATCGGTTTGATGTCCCACACACGACACGATCGACGACCATATTCTCTTCTCATCTGCATCCAGAAATGCTCTGTAACGCAATATGATGAAATAGATTGATCTAAGTTCCAACTGCATGCTGAGGGTGCAGCTTGTCAAAATTGATCTAACTGTAGGCCAAGCCACTACCGTCTAACAAGAAACAAGGAACTATAAGGATTGACAAATTAGTTTTGGCATGCTAATAATAAAAATAATATAGCCTTTACTATATGTATGTCAAAAATTTGTGGGAAAAAAAACAGAGAAACAACCATAGGGTATGTCCGCCACTGCATTGAATCATTTCAACTTGTCTCAATGGCCCAAGATGATCCAAATGATCAAATTTACAAAATAATGCTTAAAAACGATCCTTATCTTTTGCCTTTTACTGAACAGTATAAACAAAACAGAGAATGACAAGATTAGGCTACGGAATTATGTTAATATCCCATAATTTGGGCCAAGACTCTAAACTGAAGCCCAACGCAGAATTGAGTTGGTCCTATGCTTATCTTTTAAAAACCCAACGAATAGGATGGGGATATGAGATTTAACTTTTAAAAATAATTAATTAAGCTCACAATCCCGCTGACAACAGTGCCCACATTTAGTGCCTGACAGTGTCTCGAACAGAATTGTGTCCAATTGGAGGATGTCTATGCCTGCCTAAAAAAAATTAAAAATTAAGTGCACAATCTCTCCCATCTCATTTTTAATGGCCATATACTAATCTAGTTAAAACAGAGGTGAAAAAAATAAAATTATAAGAGCTAATCTTGTGGGAAAAAAAAGTAAAATTAAATCATTTAATTAAGAGAACAAACATATTGATACCAAATTAAAAATTGAAAAAAAAAACTATATGTGTCTCGACTATGGTTTTTAAAAAAAAGTAAAATTAAATCATTTAATTAAGGAGAAAAAAAACATATTGATACCAAATAAAAAATTGAAAAAAAAAATATGTGTCTCGACTATGGTTTTTCCAAAAAAGTATATGTACCTCTGATTATTCCATTACCAAGTTCTGCTAGCCAGTTTCAATTTAGAGTTACAGAATTGTTCATACAGTACTTTATGCTCTGTTTTATCTCCTACCACAACATATTATCAACCATACTGAGAGCATTATCTAATGGAGTCCTAATCCAACACTTTACTGATACTGCATATCATATACTACCTTCGGTCTTAATTATAAGAGCTAGTTGACTAATTTGATGAGATTAAGGAAGTAAGTTGAGTTAGTTATTTGTCCTAAATAAATGTTGTCTTTCCTAAAATATCCTTGTTAATCAAGTGTATTGACTAGAATTATCATTGTTAGAAGGGCTACTTTGAAAAAAAATGTATAAATATGAGAGACAAAGTGGATCGGGGTCTTGTATTTAGAACCTAAATAAAAGTCAAATGGGGTCTTATATTAAAGATCAGAGGTAGTACTACTTATTATAAGCACAACCAGTGCACAATTTTCTCAAGAACTTCTAATTTGTTCATAATTACCGTGTGCTCGATCTCCTTTTTGGTTCATGGAGAGTATCTTATAAAACATCACAATATAGAATATTATATCACGTCAACGCATAATTAGGATGGTACAAATTTCCAGAAGGAAAACAACACAAGACACTCTGCCACTGATAACTTTTGAAAGAAGAGATACAACATCACGATCGCAAACTCATGCAAACGTTAATTCCGGCTAAAAAGAGCACTAACTTAATCCAAATATGGTCCATTAAGTGGTTCATCAAGAACTTTCTGTGGATTCTATCTCATGTTTCAAGGATGGCATCTGTTCCCTAGACTTATATGACACAGAAAATTGATCTTCTTTCTCTTCTAAAGCCGTCGACGCGTTGTACCGCCCTTTTTGGAATCAAGTTCCAAATCTTCTGCTTTGAACTAACAGGGTTTGTTTCTCTGCCTGCAACATGTCAGTACCTTATCCGCTGATTGAATTCTCTCGAGATTTCTAAATTCAATGATAAATTGGAGAATTCTCTCTGAAGAAGTTTTACGCCATTTCCATCACAGGATACTTGGTGCATTTGTACAACTAGATATTTGAAGAAGTTCTACACCATTTCCATCACAGGATACTTGGTGCATGAGTACTTGATTTCACCCGAAAAATTTTGAGTTATCATTCTATTTGATCATTGGCTGAAGGATCCAGAACTGCATGGTCCGACACACACTGCAAAATAGTAATGATCAATAACTGCAATTCATTCAACAGTAATTGTACCAAGGGGAAGAAACAAAAGTCAACTCTTCCTTGCCCATTTTACTCTTTGAATTTGACTCCCGATTCATATCGTCCTCATGTTCTTCGCAACATGGACTCACTGAAAGATTGCTGCCTTCACTGTATACCTTTATATATTTTCCTTTCAGTTTAGATGTAGTTGCACAACCTGCAGTGAGCATAGAGTTGATTAAAGTTTGTTGTTCCAATAAGTCCTCAATGGAGTTGAAATCTTGTTCCAAGTCATTATTGGAGTTGTAAAAGCTATGGTATTTTCACTTGGGGCGATCATGCTTCATGAACCGGCTATTCTCCATGCTATTTTCCTGCTTGTATACGTGAACTCTAATGCACTTGATCTCTACTCCATCCTTGAGTATTCCAATTTCTTGCTGGACAGAAACTCTAAAAAGAACACACCACAATTACAGGGAATTGTTTTTGGACCCAAAAGCACATTGAATTTCCCTTCGTATGGTAATCAAACCATTTCGGGATGCTTTCTCTGCAGAGAAAAATTTAATGGAACTCGTTTAAATTTTAACGGTCACTGAGTTATTTTTAAATAAAAGTTTACCTAATTGTTTGACGATTTATCTTGGTGGATTTGTATTTGTAGCCTTCCCTTTTGAACCAATTTCTAATCTTTTTTCTTCATGTTATTTTCATGTTTTGTCACGTTCAAATTATGGTTGTAGCTTTAGTTGAAGAATTTTATTTTTTGAAGGGAAAAGCAAGGTAAACCTCAAAAATTGAAAGAAAAAATTATTATTATTATTATTATTAAGGCCCAAACAATTTGGGTTTACAGGCTAGTTTATAAGCCTGAATTGTTAAGATTGATTTCAGTTTAATGAGACGTTCTATATGTCCCGGTTTATTTTAAGTGCCTTTTCAGAAGAGTATGAAAGCAATGTTACAAAAACAACTCGCAGATAAGAGGAAGAAGATTGGAAAACTGTGAACGAAGGAAATGTTAGTGGAACTTGTTTAAATTCTGACATTCACTAAGTTATTTTCAAATAAAAGTTTAACTAATTGTCTGATGATTTATCTTCGTGGATTTGTATTTGTAAACTTCCCTTTTGAACTAATTTCTAATCTTTTTTCTTCATGTTATTTTCATGTTCTGCCTTGTTCAAATTATGGTTGTAGCTTTAGCTAAAGAATTTTATTTTTTAAAGGGAAAAAGCAAGGTAAACTTCAAAAATTGAAAAAAAAATATTATTATGATTATCATTATCATCATTATTATTATTATAAAGGCCCAAAAAATTTGGGTTTAGAGGCCAGTTTAAAAGCCTGAATTGTTGAGATTGAGCTTAGTTTAATAAGACATTCTATATGTTCGGTTTATTGGGCCAAACTCAAATAGGCCTTGAATTACGGGCTATAGATTTAAGTGCCTTTTCAGAAGAGCATGAAAGCAAGCATACAAAAACAACTCACAGATAAGAGGAAGAAGACCCTGGAGAATTGAACATATATACACGGTCATGCATTGGTGTCCAAGAAATTGGAAAACTGCGAAAGAAGAAAAAGAAATTATGGAAGAACTCACAAGACTAAAGATCATCACATGAATGGGCATTATGATAATTGAATATAATGTTCCATTATTGCCTCTTTCGACATGCTCATGTATATACATTGTGTCCAAATTTATCACACGGCTGTAATAACTTTTGTTCATAGAACATTATAATAACTTATCGAAGTTCATGTTGGAATATATAACTCACTTCAAAGCAAGGTATATAATGGATGAAAAAGAATCAACTAAACGTATATTTGTTGCTATAACGGAAAGTTACAAAATTAGAAAAGGGAATTATCGTCATATATGACATGAACGAAAGCATTCATATATTGGAAAAATAGCAGCAAAAACATTCCAAATATATAAAACTAGTATATTTGTATTACCTATACAAATGTATTGCTAATAACATGACATCAGATATTTTTGTGTTGGGCAATTTTGGTGCTTCAATCAGTTGAAATACAGAACAGTACAACGTATGCCTAGGAATGGAAGTCGATAGTTCTAACTTCTTGCCATTATAAGTAAGTACATTTCTATCAATTGTAAAGTTGCTACAAATGTGACAAATTTGGATGGGACAAAAGCTAAGAAAAACAAATATAGCCAAGTTATGTGTGTTACCAAAACCACATAGTGCAGCAGAGCTTATATATACTATGTTAGAGAATGTCAGTGGCAGACATGAAAAGAAATATGAAGGACAAAAAATTACCTCGGAAACTCATGGTGCTCGCAGCTGACCCAAGTGAATTGACAGATTCTGTTAAATTTGAATCCTAATTCATATCGTCCATAGTTTGTTATTTCCCCTCTGAAAGATCCACTAGTAAAAGTATTGGAACCAATCGACCCTCACCATATGAAGCCCTCCATAATGTTCCAACCACGGCACTTCTTTCCCTCAACTTGTGTCTCTAAGCTGTCAGTGTCTTCTTCCTTTCTCTTACCTCGTTCTTCCTTTCTCTGTAGCTCCATTGGCCGGTGACCTGCATCATAAGTTTCTTGGATACCAAGACTTATTAACAACTCTCTATCCCATGTGACGACGAGGATCCTGCTTCCTTTACCAAACCGATCACACTCTCTAATTGCTCGTAGCCTATCCAATTCTTCAACTTCTTTAATAACTACGAGAATTTTCTTCTGTGGGAACCAGGGTTGTTTTATCAAATCACAGAAACCATCCAATGTGAAAACACTGCTCCTCCTGGCTATTTCCCGAGAATTAAAAAAATACCAAAAATCTTCAAAATGGCGAGCAATAGAATGACTCACAACACGTGTTATTCGTGATGAGTCACGTGTTTCCCAAATTCCTACCCTTTTGACTTCCTCATTAGGCCCAACATCCAGAAGTGAGATTACTCGTCGACATTCGCTGTCACACCACATTGAACGACCCTTATGGATGAAAAAAAATCCGCCAATCCCTCCATTGAGGTTGAAAATGACCTCTTCAATAATATGGTCGTCTCCTTTAGCATTACTGACAAATTTAGAAGAAATTCACTTTTTAGTCGAACAAAAAATTACGATATGCTATTTTTAGAAATAAAAGCCATGCTCCCCCCCTCAAAACATATTTCTCCCAATAAAAATTAATAGCATTCTTAACATAAAGAATTAAAAATTGAAATGTGGTAAAATTATTACAAAAATTTTAAAATAATATTAAATTCAGTCACATATATTAAAAAAATTACTAAGTCATTCTAGTGATGAATAAATTTGTAATACAGACATGTATAGTTATTAATTAAAATAATTACATAAATCAAACATGTTCCCTTTTTTTTTGTCCTTTTTTTCCTTTTGGTGCCGAGCCTTTTGATCATTGAAAGAATTCAATTATACTCCTCCAGTCCTTAATATAAGACCTATTAACTAATTTCATTAGATTAAGAAAGTTAGGTAAGTTAGTTAATTTAAAAAATATGACATGTTTTTTCTAAAACACCATAATTATCTTCTTTAATATCCTTCTTCCTTTTTCTACTTGATTATGATTGAAAGAGTATCCATAGGGATAATTTAGAAAAAATAGATAGATATAAGAAATAGATTTTATATTTAGGATCAAAATTAACTTAACAATTAGAATATTAAGGATCAGAAGAGTATATGCATATGGCCATTGTTCAATTACTGTGCCTAAACTTTTCAAAATTTTAAAAAATAGTTTTGCATGTTTTTGGAATAAATATTCAAAATTATTATAAATTCAAAAAACTAAAAAGGGGTCTTATGAGCTTCATTTTCTTATTTTCCCCTTAATGCAAGTATGATCTCCATTTCCATTTGGACATCTGGTTTGATTTGTGCAACACAAGATATACAATACTTATTATATTATTAATATGAATTTGCAATTCAATTTTATTAATTTTTATTCAAATACATGAAAAATACTTTTCATTTACAAAATTATGCTTTTATCTTTTTTCATTCTACTCATTATGGAAAGAACCAGGAATAATATATCTCATGTTAACCGGTAGTAGCAAAGCATTTTTATCAATATATTATTCCCATGTAAAGTAGAATAATGTATATTAGAGTTATATTGATATAAAATGAAAAACTATATTTAATATGAAACTAATATCAAAATTTGAATAAGTCATATTCATAAATTATAAATGATACTACATTCGGTTCTTAATATAAGAATTAGTTTAAGTTTCAAATTGGTTCTAAATATAAGATATCAATCCATTTTGTCTCTTATATTTATTCATTTAAATATAAGATATCAATCCATTTTGTCTCTCATATTTATTCATTTTTTTTCTAAAGTAATCTTTGTAGTAATTGCACATATCAAATATTTTTATCAAATGACAATTGATTAGCAAGGGTATTTTAGGAAAGATAACACTTATTTATTACAAATAACTAACTGAACTAATTTTCTTAATTTACTCAAATTAATCAATTAGCTCTTATGTTAAGAATAGGAAGTAGTATGTCTTATTTATGAAGTTTTTGTTTAATGAACCAATTTGAGATATGGGAGTATTAATAGCTAAAGTAGTGTCCAAAAATAAGAATAATTAAGAAAAAGGGTAAGGACATACCTGGTAATGCTTCTCAAGTTAGCTGCTTTAGACAAAGCCAGCCTCCATTTCTGCACTAGCTGTTTGTTGTGTTTGTATATCTTCTCAAGCCTTGCAAATACTTTTCCGTAACTCCCTGTTTGATCTCGCAGCTCTAATGGCTCCACACCATAAAAAATTGGATAAACGAATCGACATTCTATGCTAAAGCACTCAAGAATGGTGGCAAGACTATCCAAACAAGATGTTGAGGATGCATAGTTTTTGGAGATAACTATGATAGTGGTCCTGGATTCTTGCATTGCTTTCAATGCTTCCTCACTTGTCTTGAGAAATTTATTGTCAATGAAGGTATGGATTCTCCTTCTGCATAGGCGATTGTAGAGATGGCTAACAAAACTTGAACATTCATCATCGTCACCTCTATAACTCAAAAACACATCATAATTCCATGTGGATGGTAATACCGCTCGCTCTGCGTTCACGTCTTCATTTTGTGAAACTTGGGCCTTGAGATTGACGACACCTGGAGCTAGGTCCAAGCAAGTACATTGAAACATTATCATCTCAAGTTAAAAATGTCTATTTACATTTGTATTAGTTATGCAATACTCAACTTGCATAAGTGATAAAACAAATGAGCTTCAAAATACCATATTTTTAAGGGAAAATTGATCTAAAATTTCTTGTAATTTCTCTTTTTTAATTAGATCCTATCTGTTTCTATCGTCAACTCCTTCAATCCCCATCTTTGTTTCACCTAGTTTGTTGGATTTGTTGTCATTGCTAGTAATCAAGCAATGTTTTGACATGAGAAAGATATTAAAGTAGGTAACACAGAAGAAAAGGAGAAACCCAACCTTGGTAAAGCATGTTGTCTTCAAGTTCTTCCCGGTGTTGTGGATGTTGTAATCTTTCCCAAGAGTTACTATCAATGTATGTTGTCCTAGGATCCATCAATCGGATGGTTGTTGAGTTTTTTTGTTGCTTATAAACATGAAGGGCTAAGTGAAATTGATCCCTTCCATTTTTCATTTCTTGGGCATTGCTCTTGATGGAAACCTTCACATGATTCCATTTATTTCGATGTGGGAGTTCAGCCTTGGGAATCATACTTTGCAGATCGCATATACATAAATGACCCATCTTCATCGTTGATAACAGAAGCCACTCAGAAGAAATATCTAGCTTGACGTCATTGACGTGCACCAAGAATGAATAATTGAAGAGAAAATCCTGATCTTGTTTAACAAGAATCCATAGAAAAATTGTTGGAAACACATCACGAACCCAAAAAGACACACAGCTTCTCCTACTACAAGTATCAACATTTTCTGGGAATTTACCTCCAGGAAAGATAAAGTTTGTTTTCCCATTTTGCAAGTTGAGTACCTATCAATTGCATTTTAAGGGGAAAAAAACTAATAAATAAAATGTAGGGAGATGATTATATACACATAGAGGGAGGGATAGAAGAAGAGAGACCTGATACAATACTCTGCTTTCAGATCTTTTTGTCAATGACATGCAACATATGGCACTGAATCTTTCCAAGTTTGGTGGCATCTCCTCAATATGTTGAAGTCGGTTGCAATAATCCAGCGAAAGATATTTCAAATGGTGACATTCCTTGACGCATGCTGGAAGGGTCGTAACACGACTACTGAAGCTTAGATCTAAATATATCATATTAGTGAAGTGAGAGAGGCAAAGAGCAAGAGAGTCATACGATAAATTGCATTTTGAGAAGCAAAAGCGTTCTAGTTTCAAAGACAGTGCATAGCAATCCAAGTTTTCTTCTTGTCCGTCCTCATACATCTTTATATGAGACAATACTTTAGAAGAAGTTGCATTTAGTTCCCAAAGATTTGGCAGCAAACAAATGGTAGTTGGTAGTTGCTCAAGATAAGGACATTCCTCTATGTTTAAGGTTTCAAGTCCAATGAGATTACAAATTGAAGATGGCAACACAATAATGGCTGTTCTACCCAAGTGAAGATTTCGCATATATTTCATCTCAATCAATATCTCTGGGAAACTATAGAGACTTGAACAACCATAGAGGTTGAGATTCTCAAGAGATACTAGTCTAAGGTCTGGAAGCAAAATCTCCAAGCTATTGCATCGCATGGCACTCAATTCCTTCAATTTATTTAAACACCCAACTGAATGATGGATTTCGACTAAATTTGTGCAATCATCAAGCCACAATTCTCTTAAATTAGAAACTCCAGATAAATCTAGAATTTGTTGTAGAAATTGGCAATTTCTAAAATTCATGCGGCTTAAAGTGTGGAACTTCTGCAAAAACAAAAGTAAATTCTTAGAAAGTTAGACACATAAACCATGAAGAAATATAGCAAGTGTTAGATATACATACATACGTACCTTTGTAAATGGCTGGAGTGTATCAAAACAACTATCTGACAAGTCAAGACAAATAAGTTCTGTTGAACAAATATTACGCGGCAAAAACTTGAAAGGATACCCCTTCCATTTCAACCACTTTAAACTCTTTGGGAGATGTGTGGGGCATTTTGAAATAAAGCCTACATTTTTTATCACAAGGATTTTGAGATTTGTCATCTTCATGAATGCCTTTCCACTCCATTGCATTTGTATTTCATTGTCTTCAGAAAAGTCTTCAGGTAGGTCTAGAAGTATGACTCCCACTTTATTGGTTCCCTGTCAAAATGAATAGCACACAATAAATTTCAAAACTTAGACATGCAAAAATCATAACGTAATTTTAAAGAATAAAAAATAGAATTCATATATCAGTGATCTTACTGTGTTTCGATTTAAAACATGAAGAATATCTTGGTAGAACCATAACCTACTTCTTTTACCGGGTTCATTTGGTGATTCTTGTCGAACAATTTCTTTACCCATATCTACAATCACGTCATGCATTAACACCTGATCTCCTTCAATCCTTATGAGGGATTTATTGACCAGAACATTAATAACATTATCCAGTGGGATTCCATATAAACATAACAACATGCCCTTAACTTCTCCTAATTCCTCACCTTTGGAAAAACAAGCCAAGTGTAGGAAAATTTCTTTCTCAAATTCTCCTAAAGCATCATAGCTTAATCTAAGGACTTCCAAAACTTCTCCTTGTGGAATTCTTTTAAATTGATCCAATGCAGAGTGCCATTCGTTGACTCCTCTACCGCATAAGTGAGAACCAGTCACTTTTAAGACTAATGGAAATCCACAACAATAACGTATTGCACGCTTAGAAACCTCCATGAAATCAAACTCCACATTCTCCTTTTTAAAGGCATGCCAACAAAGCAATTGAAGAGATTCCTCATCATGTAATTCCCTAGCATTATAAATGCTCTTAACATGAGAACTTGTGAACAACTGTTTATTTCTAGTTGTTATGACAATTCTACTTCCAGGACCAAACCAATCACAACTTCCAGCTAGAGCTTCTAACTGTTTCAATTCATCAACATCATCAATGATCAAAAGAATTTTCTTGTGGCCAAGCCTATGTTTTATTATTGGTATTCCTTCATGCAAATCACCCAATTTGAGATCTTTCTCCTTGACTAATTTACAAAGCAATGTCTCTTGAAGATGTGCCAAACCATTTGGCATTCTAGACTTTTCCCTCACATTAGGAAGAAAACATAAGCCTTCAAAATGATCAGCAATCAAATTATACAAGGCTCTTGCAATCGTTGATTTACCTATTCCACCAGGTCCCACAATTCCAACCATTTTATTTTTCTTAGTAGACCAAAGATCTAAATGTGAGAACACTTCTTTCACCCGAGACACAAGTCCAACAGGGTATTGAGTAACGTGTAAATGATTATGAATACGATTAATCCTCGCTGATACTTCATTGGTGATCTCTGTAATATGTTCTTGCTCATTTGCAATCCTGAACAATCAGAGAAAAGTTCACTATTAAACTAAATTATATGACGTGCCAAAGCTAACTTTTGTCATCTTCTATTCGTCCTTATAAAAGGTCTCATTCCTTATCCAAGCAAATATGTAAGTATAGTCAGGGAAAACACTCAATCCATATTATAAAAAGAATAAATAGATAAATTTTTAATATAAATAAGGGGAAATGACACCAAAAAAAAAAAAAGCACTCCAACATGCTAAACCCAAATTTAGGAAACTAACGGTTCATAGTACATTAAAGGGAAGGAAACTAAAATGGCATTTTAAAATTAAGTTTAAAAAAACTGCCAAATTTAAGGATGGCCATTAGGTCATCAATACTTTACTATTAATATGATGGCAAAACAAAAATAATATATATATATATATATATATATATAAGTTTAACTATCATTCATTCACAACTTTTTGAATAAAGCTTAACAAGTCACATTTTTAATTTAAATACTTGAGAAATGAGGAAAAAATCATATATTGAGGAAACATTCAATTCCTAAACTTCGGATGATAATAACAAATTTTCAATTTATTTTACTAATTTTAAAATAAAAATGAACATAAGGGTATTTCTGTCATTCTGCTTCAATTTCAAAATATCTATTTAAGGTGTGGTATTATGAATTATTAGCTGCTAAAATTGGAATTCGTCATTTTCAAGATTCTTATTGTGTCTTTTTTTCAATAAATAATATATATAATTATTGCTACAAACATGTATGCCTACTAAAATAATTATGTTAATTAATAGAGTTGCTCTGCATTGGGTGGGAAAGGATAAGGAAATTGTTTCTCTTCTCTACCCTTTCTCTCAACTACGGTCCTCGGTCCTCCTCCACCTAAGACCATATCGTTTTGGGTCAAAAATGAAAGGGTTTACCACCTGCCATTCGGCCTAGTGGTATGGGTGTGTGTGTGTGTGGTGATGAACGGGTTTTTCTTTGACCTTAAAAATAAAAAGGCTTGGACACTTTTTTTTTAGCATCAAATATTTTGAAATACTTTTTTTAAGAGCATTCATTATTCTAAAATAATAATAAAAGGATTTGGATGATTTTTTTTACGTTAAATATTTTAAAATACTTTTTCTAAGAGCATTCATTATTCTAAAAACTCTCAATAATCTAAAATATTTTTTAAGGAGGACCCGTCCAATACCTTAAAATAAATTTTGATACACTCTGTATTTTAAAATATTTTTCAGAATAACTCAGTATTCTAAAATAATTTTTAATGCATCTATCAACATAATTTTGTTTTGAAATGGCGATTAGTATTTTAAGTTTAGAGTACTTGTTGTTACTAAAAAAAAATATTTTAAGATATCAGGTGTTATTAGGTTGTTTGAGTGTATCAAAAAATTATTTCAGGATGAAAAAAAATATTTCAGGATAATCTTATTAAAAAAATAAAGGATAGGACATGCACATGCAAATACTAACATATTTTGCACGGGCTTTTCAAAGAAATGAACACGACAAAAATGGAATCAAAAGCCTTACATTTCATGTTGGATTTGTATTTAATCACGTCTAATTAATCAGGTCATGTTGTTAGAAGTATCTCAGAAATCAGAAGAATAATATTCAAATAGTTTAAGAAAAATAAAAAAGCAAACGGAAGAAAAACGTACTTGGCTTTGAGATGACACCCTTTCAAATTAGCTGCTTGGGACAAAGCCAACCTCCAATTTTCTACTTGTTGTTTGTTGTCCTTAAATCTTTCCTCCAATCGGGCCAAAGCCTCTGCATAGCTTGCTCTCGGACGTCGCAACTCTGATGGATCCACATAGTAAAATACTGGATATATTAATCGACCTTCTTCTTTAAAGCATTTGAGAATCTCTACAAGTTCCTGCAGGCAGAACGTTGAGTTGGCATAGTTCTCGGAGAAAACTATGATAGCTATCCTGGATTCTCTTATGGCTTTGATAAGTGCTGGTGTGATTTCTTCTCCCGTTCTGATGTGCTCATCATCCATAAAGACACGGATTCCTCTTTCATGTAGAGATCCGCGAAGAAAGCTAACGAAACTTAACCGACTGTCTTCACCATGAAAACTAGGAAACACGTCATACTTCCATTTGTAATCAATACAAGAGGACACTGCTGGTAGAGCCATGGCAGCTACGTCGGGCGCCGCTAATCTTAGCAGACTCGCAGGAGCCTAGGATAAAGCAAAGGAGGAAGATGTCGTCCTTGGGCTAGAAACAATGAGAGGTTGACTGAAATATTGGATGCTCATCTTGGGAAGCACCCAATACTCATCAGATTTGAATGGTCTAAATTTATTTTTTTTTAAAAAAAATTATTTTAATAGATATAGAATAAAAAATAAAAATAATCTCTTAACTATTATTCTTTAAAATATAATTTTTATTTTAAAAATAATTATTTAATAATATTAAATCTGAAAACTCTTATTACTTTTTGGAAGATAAGAGGCGGTTATTCACCCACGTGTAGTACGACCCTATTGGGTCATCTCATCCACCTGCGGTAAGTTAGGGGCCAAAGTAGGGTTGTTGATTGAGGAAGCTTCCCAGAAGTTACTTTGGATTATAAAGCTGTCATGCATTCATTCCTACTTCTGCTAAGGGTATATTTGGGTGACACCCCAAACCATGGTTTGGAGACCCAAACCATAGTTTGGGGAATAAATCACCCAAACAACCCCCAAAAACCAAAATCATGGTTTTGGAAAAAGCAAATTTTTTTGTTTTTGGAATAAAAAGAGAAAGTGTGAGAGTCTATATGATATATATCTTGTTTTTTTTATAACATATTTAATCTTATATTTTATAAATATATACACACTCTCACTTCTCAGAATCACTTTTTACAAAATCTATTCTTCACAGAATCTATTCTCCCCAAAATCTATTTTCCAAAATCACTTTTCCAAACCACGGTTTGCCAAACACATCCTAAAGCTGTCATGCATTAATTCACACTTCCTGCAGAACGTTTAGAGTACGGATCAATAATTGAGGCCGATGCCAAGCCTCCATGAAACTTCCTCATAAAGGAGTTTTTTTTTTATCGGATTTTTACTAATTAAAAAAAATGAAATAAGCCCGGTCTTAACATGAATAACTAAAAATGGAAATGTTGTAAAATTGTTTAAAAAAATGTAAATGAGTATTAATAAATTCAGTCTCATTTAATTTAAAAATAAAGTCACTATAATTACATAAATCAAGTGCGTTTTGTTCCGTTTCTTGGGGACTAAAGTATTTTTTTTTAATTGAAAATGCCAGCATGGTGGATCGCTTGAGTTTGTTTGTTTTTGTTTGCTTTGTGCCCCCCCCCGGGGGGGAGAATTATAAGTTTATAACACCGTTAGACCAGTCCAGACAAGTATATAATGATGTAGTGAACGTCAGTTCTACGAAGGGGCGAACAGACTTCCACGAAGCTCCGTCGTGTTTCCTTTGAAATTTAGGATATATTTGGTGTGAGGGATTTGAAAAAGAAAGAGGGAGAAAAATTTTAATCATTTCTTTTGATTTGGCATCACACAAATTTTAGGAGGGAGAAAAATTAAAAAAATTTTTTCCTCCCCTCCTCTCCTCAACTTTCCCTCCAAATTAGAAGGATTTAGAGAGAATGGTAATATTTTTACTATGTTGTGACTATTATGCCTATATTTATTTTTTAATATCTCTATACTACCTTAAATCCTTCTCTTATTGTCTCCAAACGCTGCTCTCTCCTTTACATGACCAAATATTTTCATTTAAAGATGCGATACAATACAAGTTGTGTCTAAATATTACTTTATCTTCTTTTTAATAATACTTCACACTCTAAAGTATATTAGAATTTTGGTATAAATATTGCTCAATTATTAAATGTTATTTACAATCTATTTTATTAAACATTTTATAAAATTTGAAAAAATAATCTTAAATAAAATAAGGGTAAAATTGTTCATGTTAAAATATTTTTCCCTCCCCTCCCTTCATGAACCAAACGAGATAATATTAAAACTCCTTTCCTCCCCTTCTTTTTATAAATTCAAACAAGGTATATTAAAATCTTTCCACTCTCCTCCTCTTCCCCTCCCTCCATTAAAATCCCTCCCTCGCCTTATTCTCATTGAGCCAAACAGACCCTTAGAGAATATTTGGATGAAATCAAAATTATAATTTTAAAAATATTTTTATAGTGTACAAAATAAACATGTGGAGGAACTTATCTCGATTTATAAAAAAATATTTTTTTTACCGTCAAACACCTCTTAATGGCTAACAGCCTAGATAGGTGCTTAAGAACACCCAAAAACACTTTTAAAAAAATATTTTTTTACAAATTAAGACAAATTTTTTTATATATTTACTTCATACATCATACAATTATTTTTAAATTTATAGTTTGATTTTCACCAAATTGAACGCTCCTTCAATTATGTAAATAATAGATTAGTTAGATTTAGTGTACAACTATAAATTAGCTAACACCATCATGTGACTCAGTGTATATAAACACTTGTATTACTCATTACTTCAGCTGTCTCTTTTTATAAACAATATTAAAACTCATTATGTAAATCAAAATCTTAGTTAAAGACAATAAGTACGTATAAATTAAAAATTCTTTCTCTTATGTGTCTTTATTTATGAGAAAAAAAGTATAAAAAAAGAATAAAAAAAATTATTAATAAAAAATTATCAAAAAGAGAAGAATGTGTGATGAAAGATTATGATTTAAGAAATGAGATAATAAATATGTTGAGTATTAAAATAAGTAATTAATAAAGATAAAATAAAAAATTTATTATAAAATTTAAATAATTATAAATATTGCTTATATTTAAAAAAAAATTGATAGTTACAAATCTTTTACCCTCTTTTTCTCTCTCCGTGTTAATGGCTCCGAAGAAAGAAATAGGAAAGTGAAGAAGAGTCAAACTCAAACATGGGGAAAATGAATTGACTTGAAATCTTAATTATATCAAGTTTAGTCTTATTACTGTCGAGTTACAAATTCAATTTATTTGGATTATTTGTAATCATACCCAATTATTCACCATTCATTGCTTTCAACGGTCCAGCATAGCTTAGGAAACTAACTTGACCACATACCCCCATTATTCTTGATTCCTAGTTCGAATTATCTCTACAGAATTTTGTGAAGGCTTCATTTGCCTTTTATTACCTGTGATCCTTGATGTAACAGTTAAGTGACTAATTTTAATAGATTAAAAAAAAATTAAGTTAATTATTTATAATAAATATGTATTGTCTTTCTTAAAATATCCTTACTAATCAAATGTATTAGTTAGAATTATTATTATTCCAAGGACTATCTTAGAGAAATGGATAAATATAAGTGACAAAATAAATAGGGATCTTATATTTAAAATCAAAATAAAAATTAAATGAACTCTTATATTAAGAACGGAAATTAGTATATTTTATTAACAAAATATTTTCAATTTATTACAACTCAAATTATGCAACAAAAATTATTGTTTAATTTAATGGCAAAAGCATCTATACTAGTAGCTAATACTACTACAACAACAACAATTTTAACATGTTAAGTAAAGTCGACTACAAGAGTCACGCAATATTATTGTACTTTATCCTAGATCAATTCTTCCACTAAGTCATTAATGAACAGATCTTGGTTAATCTAATGCTAACCCCATCCCAAGTCTTGTGCCTAACATTATCGTGGTCGTCGTCAAAAATGTAAAAGAAAATGGCAGTCAAATTACTAATAGTATTGCTTTTAGATGTACGCCTTTCCAGTATCATTTTCGTTCCATCTAACAGCCACACATCTAAATTAATTACATATTTTAGGAAAAATTGGGAATAAATCCCTCAAATTTATTAGTAAATGGTTCTTATGACAGATTGTATTAGGTAAATAAGTTACACGCAAGAGAAGTTAAGTTGTGTGAAAAGAAAATGGTTTGCACAAAACATTAGGATTAATCTGCATACAGAGAAAATAGATTGCACCCAAAAAAAAAATCAGTTGCATAAAGGAAAAATGTCTCACAAACAAAGACAATTGCACACAAGAAAAGTATAAGCTGTGCAAATCGTTAGAGATCATTTGTCAATTAATTTCTTAAGTAGGAATTCATCTCCAATTTTCCCCTTCTAATATGTTATTAGTACCATTTATCTTTTACTCTGTCACATCTCTACGATATATAAGCACCTAATAATAACTTTACATTAAATAATGAATTTAGTGAAAATTAGTTATTTCTTACAAAATATTAAAATTATTCTCCATAAAACTCATTGGTTATAAAGTAAAATGAACAAATTAAATCAAACGAAAAGGTAGGCAGGTATGAAGAGCTCTACCCTCCGTGAGCCTCACTCTTGTTATAATACTGACAAACTCAATTATTTTTATATATTTTGGTATCTTTTATATGAGTTTTGTCAGCTTAATAGTCCATTTTGCCTTAATTGATTTACTTTGTTTTATTTTGAATTATTATTTTATAGGGGCAAAATTGTCATGTTTTGATTTAATTATGATTAATTGATTTTAAGGACAATTAATGCTACCTTATCCTTGAATTTTGCTTGCAGGTTCTTGGAAGATTCAAAAAAAAAAAAAAAGAAAAAAGAAAATAAATTAAAAGAAAATAATAATAATAATAATAAGGTGGACGTTTTGCCCCAACCTAATATTCCTAATATACAATCTTCTTCTTCATTCGGGCGAAGAAAAAACGCACCGGAACGGAACGGCCACGAGGCCGAACGAAAACTCACACACACGCGGAGAAGAAGACGCAGGCGCGGCCGAACGAAAATAGAGGAGACACACACGAGCACGCTGAATGGAGCTGAATACACGGACGCTGAAGGCGAGCTGGGCGCGTGGATGAGAAAGGACAGAGAACACGCAGACGCAGACCAGCGAAACAGAGACGTGAACCATTCAGCGTGAACAGTGTTCTTCCATGGGATCCTGTAGCAAAATACCGATTGCAGCGAATTTGATGGCAAACCGTGGCTAATTCCTAATTCTCTAATTCAACAATAATGGCAGGAGCTTGGATCTTCAAGGGGGAGTTCTAGTTACTTTAATTTCTTACTCAATAATTGTTTAACAATTCCTAGGTCTTAGGATAGTTTTTCTGATTGTTGGGATAATTGTATTGCTTAATCTGATTATATTTGGGGGTTATTGTGATTGAATTATTGCTTAGTATTTGACATTGGG